ACGGACTTTGCTGCCAGGGCTAGCTTTGAACCACAATCCTCAGATCTCAGCCTCCAGAGTTGCTAGGATTTCAGGCGTGAGCCACCAGCGACAGGCAAATCCAATTTCTTGTGGAACAAAACAGGCAAATGAAGTAACAGTGCAGGTATAGCACACCTCTCTACCAGAAAGGTGGGGGCTAGAGTATTGCTTCATAGCTTTCCTATTTTGTAGAGTGAGTGACAAGGCAAAGGAAACAGTGGAGAGGCAGGACCAGGGCCGGCCCTGCCCCTGCCAGTGCTGCCTGTCCACGCCATTATGGTAAGGTGGGAAGGCACTGCCTTCATCGCCCACTTCTGCAGTTCAGTAATCAAAGGCAAAGTACCAGCTTTGAGCTTTTTGCACTTTATTGCTTATTAGTTCACTAAAAATCACACATCACACCACTATTGTATCTTCCAATGATAGTCTGTGCGTGGCATGGTTTTTATGTTTTTGTGGTAATGATAAAAATATAGTGCCAGCCACGTCTTAGATTACATACTTTGGAATTGGTGCTAGGCTAGGTGCTTAAACTCTATCATCTCCTTTACTTCTCATAAAAGCCTGGTGAGGCTGGTGTTGATGTTTTCACATCACAGATGAAGACACAGCCAAGGAGACTACTGGTATGACCGGCCTGCCCATGACATTAAATACACAGCTGGTGTCTAAGACCACATTTCCCATCTACCTGGCCAAACTGTGCATGTGCTTACAAACAAAGTGCTGAAAATGCGTCAAAGACTCAGAAAATGAATGAATGCAGTTGCAAAGGTATGTAAGACAGTGGACAAAATGGTTACTTTCCTGTGAGTGTCTTTGGCCATTAGCCATCTACAATTTTCACACATAACCCCCCCCCTCCACACACACACACATCTTCCACACACATGTAGGATAAAATTGTTAATGAACATGTCAAACAGAACTGCATTTTCCCACAGCAGCTTTATATGCTTTGAGAAAAATGAGTATGATTTTATTCTTACTGCACAAAGCATGATTGTGCATAGTAAAATGTATGGAACATTCCACAAAAGTTCTTACAGTGATTTATTTTTTTTTTAATACTTTTTTTTTTTTTAAACTTTCTTCTTTTTTTTTTTTTGCTGGTCTTGAGGCTTGAACTCAGGGCCTGGGCACTATCTTTGAGCATCTTTGTGCTCAAGGCTAGTGCTTTACCACTTGAGCCATAGCATCTCTTCTTGCTTTTTCTGAGTAGTTATTGGAGATAAGAGTCTCACGGACTTGCCCTATTGCCTGGTCTGGCTTTGAACAGCAATCCTCAGACCTCAGCCTCCTGAGTAGCTAGAATTACAGGTGTAAGCAATTGGCATCCAGCTTTTTTTTTTTAACTTTCTAAAAGTTAAAAAAAATTTCTACAATGAGTATGTATTGTTCTTCTGCAGCTAGGGAATTCTCTTTTTGTTTTTCTCTCTCTCAAAGACAGGTAACACTAGCACATATCCTTTTGTCTTTGCTCAAATATTGAGCCCACGTATCACTGGGGATGTATTTAAGGGATTTCAAGGGTAAATTTGTCATGCCATAACACATTTTCTTTTTTTTTTGGGGGGGGGGGGTCCGGTTGTGGGGCCTGAACTCTGGGCCTGGGCGCTGTCCCTCAGCTCTTCAGCTCAAGGCTAGCACTCTACCACTTGAGCCACAGTGCCACTTCTGGCTTTTTTCCTTTTTGCTTATGTGGTGCTGAGGAATCGAACCCAGGGCCTCATGCATGCAAGGCAAGCACTCTACCACTGAGCCACCTTCCCAGCCCCATAACACATTTTCTAAAACTTTTGTGATTAAGTTCCAAACCCTGCTTAATGTCTAAAAGTAGAAGGGGAAACAGATCACCAGCTGTGTCCTGTCCTTGAGGCCAGGGGTGGATGCAGGGCTGGGCAGGTGAGACTCTGCTCCCAGGCTTAATCTGGACAGATGAGGCACAATAGTAAGGGTGTGAGCCGCGCTGCACACTGTTGGCTTTTTTGCTAGAAACCAGCCACCGATAGAACCAACAGAACCTATGCTTTCTCTCCACTCTTTTTAGTCTCAACTTAAGCTAAGATTTTCACAATATGAAATTTTCATGTAAACTTCCTTCAACATAATAGGTACAAGTAATTTATCTGATAAAAGAATGTCAACAGCAAGTACAGTATAATTTGTGTGGTGACAAATTGTACCTGTCCTTTCCAGGAAGAAAGGACACTGCTGTGCAGGGAATGGATCAGGGCAGGGTCAAGCATAAGCACTTGTATTTAATATGCAGTTCCCAGAAACATCACTCTGTCTTTTCTGAAGATAGATGCAAATTATACCTAATAAAGTTATTATGAATAATTACCACCTCTCCTCTCCTGCATGTTCCATGAGCTTGGAATGGGGAAGAGGCAGTTATGAATGAGACACCTATAAATTATGAATTAGGAAATGTCTGGTATAATGCTCATTTTCGCCAAAGTCAGAGATACATTTTCAAAGATTAGTAGTATCAAGTGTGAAATGAGAGGTGAAACTGACTCAGAGCTTCAACTAGCAGAGTGAGAAATGCCATGTCCGGAACGTCCCTGCGACCCACCCGCACTGCAGAGGGCAGGGATGGCAGAGGGAGGCAAGCGAGGAGGCACTTTTTTTTTCTCCTCACAAGATAATGACTAGAAGACGAGTGTTGTGAAGGGGAAATGTCGTTATGCACAGGATTGTGGGTAAATAGTTCAAAATGAAAAGGAAGGGTCATTCATTCCGGTACTGTATGTGGAGAACCCTACCTCTACTCAGCTCCTGTTGGGAAGGTGTGGTTGGGCTTCAGGAGTCTCTCCCAACAGCAAGACCAACCTGCAGGCAGGATTTGACAAGGGGTCTGAAGACGGCTTCACTCACATGCTTAAGGTGCTGTGCATGGGAAGACAGGCCCTGGCCAGTACCCAGCACAGGACACAGTGGGGGGACATCAGCTACTGTTCTCACCAGTCTTCTTCCAGGAAAATGCATGCCAGACCCTGTGCTTAGGGTTGGCTCTGAGAACATGGCGCATTTTGTCTAACCATGGGCAGGCCCACACAGGGTCAGAGCAAGGGACAGATTTGGGGAATGTGTCTGAGTTAAGCTTGGAATTCCACTATGTTGAAAAAAAAAGAAGACATGTAGCCAGAGCAGGGTGAGCCAGCTGAGAGGCCTTAAAGAGAAAGGTGTCCTGGAGGGGAGCCAGGTGGTGCTCAGACACTACACGAGTCAAGACGGTGTGTCAGGCTGTCTGCTAGATGGACTTGAAGACATAGTGAATGGCCTGCAGCCAACTACAGTTCAGAGCTGGACTTGAATCCAGGGGCCTAAAGTTGTCAAACTCTTAGGAACAGAGGTTGGGGGAGGTAGTGTTCACAGGGTACGGAGCTTTAGTTTTGCAAGATGAAAAAGTTGTAGGGTTCTGTTGCACTACAATTTGACCACAGTTAATAAAATGGCACTGTGCGCTTACAACAGTTTGGAAGGCATCTTTTGGTGGTGTACACACTCCCAGATGGAAGGAGACTGGCTCGTGTCCAGCGACAATGAACTCTGCTATCAGCGTTTCAGGATTCTCCTGGCCATCTCAGTGAGATTTCTTATAACCATACAAGTCAGTGACTCTTTTGCACTCTTTCTTAAAAATGAACTGAAATTTTATGACAGTCACACCAATATTGCTGATTAAGTATATGTACGGGTCATCTGCTGCAAGATCAAGACAAACCAGGGGGCCTGAGCAAATCCCAGGCTCCCTCACTGGTCATGAGAGATGGACAAGGTGGCCACATCTTGCATGGGTGGGTCACCGTGGTGGCTTCCAATGCCTTGCACAGATCCACCTGTTTGGTATTTGCCTTTTCTGTTCAAGTCCGGGGTCCGCCATCTCTCAGTGTAAGCCCAGTTCTCGGCTGGTCGCCGACACACTCAGGAAAGGTGGAAGGGAGGCAGCAGGGCTCCCCCCACCCCCCTTTGCCACCAGTGTTGGGGGTGTGCTTCTTGTGAATGCTGACCACGGTGTCAGCGTGAGGACTCGGGACAGAAACCATCAGCCATCTCTTTTCGGGCAGTGTCGAGAAACACCATCAGGGTTCTGCTGTCCGGTCACAGCCGGCCTTGAGGCCCCGCCGAGGGGAGTTCTGGTGCTGCACAGGCCCACTTTGGGGGCCGCCACCGCCAGCCACCGCACCGCCAGCGCTGCCTCGGGTCACGTTCGGACGGCACGGCCAAGGGGGGCCGGGCAGCGGCGGCGGGCCCGGGTGCCTGTCCCGTCCCTGGGGCGCCGCCCGACGGCGGGGGGCCCGGCCCGCGGACTTCCTGGCCGCGCGGCTCCGGAGCCGCGGGAGGTTCGCGGGGCTGCCGAACGCTGAGACGCTTCTAGTGGAAAATGGGAAGCCAGACGGAAAAGAAGGTTCGCGAAGCTTCGGCCAGACTCGAGGGCGCCGGCGGAGTCAGACCACGGGCCGTCGGTGTTCCCAAGTTTTCCACATTTTGTTCCCGTAAGATTTTTCTGGAAGGGTTTAAAGCTTACGGACCAGCCTGGCGAGGGAACCGCCTGGCCGGGCCGCGGTCGTCGGACTCGGCAGGGCTCCGCCCCGACGGCGCCGGGGCCAGAGACGCGCCGACACCCGTCGCTCCGGCGCCGCCCGCCACGCGTGCGCACAGGGCAGAGGCGGACCCGGGACGTCACGCCTCCCGCACCTCGGCCGCGACGCTCGGTGATGTCACCAGTCGCCTCGCGGGGCGGGGACGACACTCATGACGTCATCAGACGCCGACGAGAGGCGGGGTCAGGACCGCGTGCGGCCACGCCTCCCGGCTGCTGCCCCCGCGGCTCGGTGACGCCATCGGGCGGCGACGCGCGGGAGGGAGGGCCGGGCGTCAGCGCCTCTGCCGGGCCCGCGCTGAGGGGAGCGGGCGGGAGGGCGTGGCGGCTCGGTGGAGCTGAGGGGAGCGGGGAGGGGCGGCGGAGCATGGCGGACCACATCCCTCTGTATCCCGTGCGCGGCGCGGCGGCGGCGGCGGCCAGCCACAAACGCGCGGCCTACTACAGCGTCGCGGGGCCCGGCCCGGGGGCCGACCGGCGCGGCAGGTAACGGCGGGCGGGCTGGCGACCCTCCGCGGCGCGGCGGGGCGGCGGGGCGGGGCCGGGCTCGGCGGGCCGGACCGGGCTGCGGGCCGGCCGGGGGCTCCGCTCCCCCGAGCCCCGCCGACGCCCGCCCGCCTCCCCCGGGCGCGGTGCCCCGGCCCGGCCGGCCCCGGCGGCAGGCGCAGCTCTCCGCCCCGCCCCGCCGCGGGCCGGAGACGCTGCCCTGGACCAGCCCGGGCAGAGGCGCAGCGCCCGCGTCGCGCCGGGAAGCCTCACGCCCGGGTGAACCCCGTGGACTTAGCGCGAGTTTAACTTACTTCTGCCCCCCACAAACAGCACCGTGCTTTATAAAAGACACGCTTAAAGGGAGAGTAGTCGGTACCGAATAGTTGGAGTGTGGAGGAAGGCATGAGACCTTGAGGAGCGGCAGACACGCCTCAAGGCTCCTCGCCTCGCTGGCTGAGCTCTTGGAATGGTCGCCGGTTTGCTTGGGCAGTTCGAGAGACTAACCGAGAACCCCGCAGTTCGTATTGTAAGTTAGAGGACGGAAATGAATCAGTTCATTTAGTTAGTAGCTGTCTGCACGCAGGTAACATTTAAACCCCGAGGCCTACCTCCTTATCTGTGAAATAGGGAGCCGTATTTGTGGGACGCTGGGATACAGAGGCACCCTTTCCCAGAGTACTTGGCTAGAAGTGTTCTCCAGAACTACCGTTTCTCCCTTCCTGCTCAGCTTTACTGTACGATAGATACTGTAAGTGGTTCATTACGGAGGTGGCTATTTAGAGAGAGGCTACCCGTTTTATAGGGTTTTGTTACATTTTGCTTTATGTGTCTTGAAGCTCTGGAGTTGGTGCAAACATTAGGGATCCTATGTTCTCTGTGCAGATTGTTTTATTGTGATGCCATATTTCTCTGTCTTTGAGTACCCATTTACTTAATTTTTTTTTGGCGTAAATGTTTACATAGTATTAGCTTTCAGCCTAATTTGTGTTGTTGAAGTGAAGAAATGTCTTCTTGGATCATGGTCTTATCTTCTCTGCTGTTCTTTGTCTTTTGAAAAGGTGTATTTCCACCTTTTAAATTTAAGGTAACTGTTGATACATTAGCACTTAAGTGTGGCATTTTATTAATCTGTTTTCTGTTATCTCTGCTTCTCATTACCATGTTTCTCTTGTTTTCATCTTAGGTTAAAACTTTCCTGATAGTCTGTATAGCTTTCAAGTGTTTTCTCTAGATGTTATGTTATACACATGTGGTTTATCAACTTGGTATATTGTTCTGCTACTTTGGAAAAGTATGGAAACATTTCCATTTAGGACCCCCATATTATATGCCCTTTCCCAAGGACCAGGTGGTGTTATAGTTTCTGTTTTGCTCATCAAATATGATCTATAAATTCATGATGATGATAGTCTGTTGCATGTATGCATATTATTGTTTGTACTATTCGATGTTCTAGGATTCCTTATTTTTCCCTTCTGTTTAAAGAGCTCCCTGCACTAGGCTTTAAATTTCTATCATATAAAATTTCTATCACATAAAAATGTTTTATTGGAATAAAAATTGTTCCTGGTTAACAGGGACTTGAAAAATCTAGCATTTTCTTCTCCATGGTTTCCTATTAGTAGCATACTGTCAGTCAAGTTTGTGTCATTTATCTATGGTTGCTAGCAAGCTTTTAGTTTGTCTTAGATTTTCAGAAATGTAATTTTGGTTGGCCCTGTCGTGGATTTCTTTGTACTTAGATCGTTTAGTATTCATTAAGCTTCAACGTGTGGTTTTTGTTTTGTGTTTTTTGTCTCTTTCTATTTCTTTTTTGACTTCTTATCCATTATTTCTTTAACAGTTCTTTTGTTCCCACTATCCTCTGTTTACATTTCCAGTGATAGGAACATTGGATCTTACATTGGTATGTAATTCTTGTAGACTTCCATATTTGCTCAGTACTTTTTCTCTTTGTTCAAATTGTGTACATTCTACTCATGTTTTCAAGTTCTATAATTCCTCTTGCCCGTGAGAGAGATGGCTAGGCAGCACTGACAAATGCAGCCCCATAACCTGAGGTGCCCAATCTGGGAAACTTCTGAATATCCATTTCCTGAGGCTCCTGCCCCTGCCCAAGATACCATAGATGTATGTGGCACCAGCAAGACAGCCCAAGTGGTCCCAAGACTCCTCTTTTACCAAGAGATACTACAAGGAGGTTAAGGAGGCATATGTGAAGGGGTGCCTCATACAGTGCCTTGCGAAGGAACTATCACCCTTGCCAAGAGACATTAGGCCGGGGCAGCCCCCTTCTCTTACCAATCCTGCAGAGTACAATAAGAGCCCTATTAGTCACTACCTAAACAAAGCATGCCAAAGATCATAGCCCATGTCATTGGCACCACAGGCCAAATATAAACCAGGACCTTTGTGCTAAATCGAAACAGGGTAGCCATGTTAAAGTCTAGAAATAGAGAGGGGCCCTGGTGGTGGAACCCCAGTGGTTCATGCCTGTAATCCTAGCTACTCAGGAGGCTGAGATCTGAGGTTCAAAGCCAGCCTAGGCAGGAAAGTCCTTGAGACTCTTATCTTCAATTAACTACCAGAAAATCAGAAGTGGAGCTGTGGCTCAAAGTAGTAGAGCTATAGCATTGAGTAGAAAAGCTCAGTGCTCAGGCTTTTAGTTCAAGGCCCACACCTGACCAAACAGTAACAACAACAAAAGAAAACAGAGAGGAATCCCATGGGCATCCTTGGTGTGCTAGTTGTTGTGATGTGTTTCCTATTGTTGGTAAATATTCTAGTTGTAAAAATGAAACTTCTCACACCAATAATCCTAGATACTCAGGAGGCTGAGATCTGAGGATCACTGTTTAAAGCCAGCCCGAGCAGGAAAGTCTGTGAGACTCTTATCTCCAATTAACCACCAGAAAAACAGAAGTGGCGATGTGGCTCAAGTGATAGAGCAACTAGCCTTGAGCTGAAGAGCTGAGGGATAGTGCCTAGGCCCAGAGTTCAAGCCCCACAACTGACCAAAAAAAATAGGAAAGAAACTTTTCCTTAATTTTAATGGTGCACAGTTGAAGAAAATCTTTTTCTTTTTCCATTATAACATGATACATCCTCTAAGTAGCCCCCTCTTCCTCCCAGGGGCCTGTGTATTAGGCAAGTGTTGTACCATAGAGCTGTATCTTCAACCTCAGCCTCAATCTTAAGATGAATTTTTAAGAATTAAGAATTATTAAGATTTATAAGAATATTTTTTTTTTAAAGAATCCATGGTTCACTCAACTACAAGAAATTATTTACACCTGTCGGTGTTTAATCCCCTTCCACCCCCCATCTAAGAGCATGAAGATACAGTTGATAATAGGGAGCTTTTCTATCCTGAGCTAACTGGCAATGAAACTTCAAATTTCTGGATTTTTATATATGAAATATTGAATATTGCACAATCAACTCCAATTCGGAACTTTGTCTCAATTTATGTGTTTTGTTTTTTAAGTTTTAGCAAGGATTTATTTAGTTTTAGAGGATAAAATAGAGAGAGCTGGGTGCCAGTGGCTCAAGCCTGTAATCCTAGCTACTCAGGAGGCTGAGATCTGAGAATCGCAGTTCAAAGACAGCCTAGGCAGGAAACTCCATGAGACTCTTATCTCCAATAAACCACTAGAAAACCAGAAGTGGCGCTGTGGCTCAAGAGGTAGAGAGCTTGCCTTGAGCTGGAGAGCTAAGAGACAGTGCCCAAACCCAGAGTTCAAGCTCCACAGCCGACAAAAAAAAAAAAAAAGAGATAGAAAAACATTTTCTGTCCCCTCTGTAGGAAATGAAGGAGTATAATTTCTTATTTGAAGGAATTGGTGCAGAGTTGGATGGGGGATCACCCCTCAGTTTATAGGACTGGCTAGTCCTTTCTCTTTTGCTTGTTTTGGCTCCTAAAGTCATAGGATGCTCTTCAGGCACCATTTAATTAATTACATTTTCTTATGATTCCCTTGCTCTTTTACCATTAGTTTTAGTCTGTTAGTAATTTATAAAGGACAAAAATTTATTTCTAACAAGTCTGGAGGCTGGGAAGTCCAAAACCAAGGGGCAAACATCTGGCCAGTTGTTCTTGCCATGTCTTCACATGGCAGAAGATCAGGAAAGAGTAAATTCACTCCTGTAAGCCTTTTTTGATAGTGCATTCACATGCATGAGGGTGCCCAGTGATGGGAAGGAACTCTTCCAGTTAGGCACCATGTCCCAGTGCTGCTGTATAAGGATTAAGCTTTCATCACCTGAATTTGGAGGGAACCGAAAGAAACATTTGGGCCAGATCACCTGTCTCCTCACCTGTGGTTTACTAATTATCATAATTGACATAATTGAACTTGGTGGCTTTATTTGAAGAAGGAAATATGCACATGGTATTCAATTTGGTTGCTTAGCTTTTTTTTTATTAGTTTACAGGCAAAGAGGAAATGTTTATTTTTCTTAAAGAAGCTTTGAGCATTATAGGCTCACACTTGTAATCCTAGCTGCTCAGAAGGCTGAGATCTGAGGATTTAAGTTTGAAGCTGGCGCTAGCAGGAAAGTCCATGAGGCTCTCTCTCCAATATACTACTCAAAAAAGCTGGAAGTGGCGCTTTGGATCAAGTGATAGAGTGCTAGCCTTTAGCACAGAAAGGCTCAAGAACAGTGCCCTGGTCCAGAGTTAAAGCTCCAGGCCCAGGAGGGAAAAAAGATGTCTTACTTTATGTTGATTGACTTCTCAAAATGTTTCTCATCCAAATGGAAACAAATATGAGATACTTAAGGTAAATGCGAATTTAAGCTTATTGCATTGACCTACTTTTACTTCGTTACATGTAAATTAGTATCTTCTAGTACTTGAGTGTTCCGTTGAAAATTCCTTAAGTTTTTAAAAGCCTTTGGCTGCAGCAGATGTAGCTGTCCTCTTTCTTGGTATGGCACTACTCTTGGGTTTGTATCATCTTTTCTGTTGTCTTTGTTCGCATTGTTTTTACTCGTTTAAAAAAATGTCTCCAGAATTATACTTAATTGCTGGAAACGTTGATTTCTCTTGAGTGACAAATCAATTAAGTGTGTAGGACACCAAGCAACAAAGACACTTAAGATTTTCTGCTTATCCTGTCTCAGAAAAATCCATTATTCATCATCTTACTGTTTTTAAATACTGAGATAAAAATTTCAATACAATAGGAGAATTGCTTTGGAAGTGGAATAAATTGCTTGCTAGTTCAAAGGCTGCATTTCTAAAGTCAAGGTTAGTAAATGTGATATTGCTCATATTCATTAGCTTCCAGAACTCACTGCATTTCCAGCATTAAACTTGATAGGATTATGACTTTTGGTAATGTGCAACATGATTGCTGAAAGTACTTGATAAAGTCTCATTTTGTATATAATATTATAATATGTTAAGATGTGCCTTGAATAGCGATTCCATCTATACAAGTATTTATTTTTGCTTGATTTTATTATAAAAGAACAATAAGGAAAATGAAGTTTCCAAAGGAAAATAATGTTTTAGGCTTATTTCATGAATCTATATTTTCCCTCTTAAATAATTAAAATGTAGTTTGCATGTTGTAAGAATGTTCTGTGATGATATCCATTGTGGAATTAGTTTTAGAATGTCTTAATGAGACATTGAAATGAATAGCATTTTGATCAGTGAAATAGGATGTTGAGTGAGGGTGAAAATAACTGCTCTTTTTCTTATTTATTCTTAGTGGCAGTACTGTATTCTATCATATGTTTTAAGAGTTCCATTTCCTTCATTCCTCCTTTAAGCAGCACAGTACAGTGATGGTCATCTTTGTGGATAAATTTTGTGTATGTATTTAATCTCCATAGGTAGTTAGAACCTGTGGTTGAAATTGAAGTATATTACTTTACAGTAATGAAAAGGCTTGCGATTTCATCTCCACAAGCTTGGCGGATGTTGAGTGCCTGTCCTTGCACGTCTCCGCAGCACAAGTGCTCTGTGTACTGCTGCCTCTCCAGCCCTCTCCATTTTCTTCTAGGTCTCTGCACCCTGCGCCAGTTTTCCTTGACTTTTATGAAGTTGGCTGCTTTACTTTTTGGGGTGGCCTCTAGGGTGATCCAAGGAAGACCTCTCCAGTCACTTCTGGTCATCCTACCTGCTCTGTTTTCTTCCCAGCTCTTCTCCCTTTGCACATGTCTTCTTCATTTTCTTGCTTCCATCTTGTCTGCATGTAAGCCCCTGTAAGCAGAGCTTTGTGTGCCTCGTGTACTGCTGTGTCCTTGATTCTTAGGAGGTACCTCACTTAAGTGTCTCTTGGAAGAGTGCTGGAGTCTGGTGCGGTTCCTTCAGTGCAGTTATATTTATGAATTGTCTTTCCTCGTTTTCCATTTGCACTGTTTGCTTTTTATTTTTTGTAAGAACTGTTTATAAAAAATTACTGTTTTCTGTCATAAGTTGCAAATATTTTCCCCCAGTGTCTTACTGGCTTTAAGTTTTCTTTTCTTTGATGGTGCCTTGTGCAGACATTGGTAGTGTCTGGCCAAAACCAACACTTAGTAACTTTCAGCTGTTGTCATCAAGGTAACTTATTTTTCATGGTCTCTCAGCTGAAGAAGCCCTGGGGAGTTATTATTTGCCATTTTGGATTTTGAGCTTAATGACAAACCTGTTCTTTAAATAATTGGTACTTTTTTTTTTTGGTTGGTCATGGGGCTTGAACTCTGGGCCTGGGCACTGTCCCTCAGTTCTTCAGCTCAAGGCGAGTGCTCTACCACTTGAGCTACAGCACCACTTCTGGTTTACTGGTGGTTAATTTGAGATAACAGTCTCACACTTCCCTGCCCGGCATGGCTTTGAACCTTGATCCTTAGATCTCAGCCTCCTGAGTAGCTAGGATTACAGGCATGAACCACCAGCACCTGTCTTGGTACTTTTGAATGAACTAGTTATTTTGCTTTATATACAAGCATTTGGCTGTTCCTCTTTGGCTCATGGATTATTTGAAAGTATGTTTGTTTCTTAAAAGTATCTGAGAGTTTTCAAGACATAATTTCTTTTATTGATTAGTGTATTTTGATAAGACAACATTGTCCTATAATGTTCAGTTTAGATTTGTCAATATTGGTGTTATGATCCAGAATGAAGTCTTTGGGGTGATGTTCCCTGTGCACTTGAACATACTGTATTCTGCTGTTGTTAACTAATGTTTCCTGTGTAAATGCCAGTTAGGACAGGTTGGCCAGCACTAATGGTTGTATCCTGACATTTGTCTTATCATTTTTGTTGAAAATAATTTTGGTCAAGTACTTCTGTGTCAAGTACTTTTCTTTTGTCTATTTCTCCTTCCATTGGTCTTCTCTTCATATACTTGGAAGCTCTGGAGCAAGGTGCAAGATTATTAGATCTTGTGATCTAATCCTCTTGTTACTGCAGTATCACCTTGGGAAGAGTTTGTTTTTGTTTTTCTTTTTGGGTTAACTTGTTAGGCTGCTACTCTACCACTTGATCCACACCTCCAGCCCTGCTTTTTGCTGATTGTTTTAGAGATAAAGTTTAGTGAACTTTTCTGTCTTGGCTGGCCTCAAATAAGGATTCTTTAGGTCTCAGCCTTCTGAATATCTAGAATTACAGTCATAAACCACCAGAGCCAGGCTGTGTGGCAGAATATTTTGTTTTCTTTGTTTTATCTTAATTTAGCTTTCTTTTGGTTAGTGTTTGCACCATGTATTCTTTATCCTTTCTACCTTTTTTTTTTTTTTTTTTTTTGGTGCTAGTCCTGGGACTTTGATTCAGGGTCTGAGTTGTTTTGCTCACGGCTAGGCTAGTGCTCTACCAGTTGAGCCAAAGTGCTATTTTTTTTTTTTTTTTTGGTGGTTAATTGGCAATAAAAGTCTCACAGATGTTTCTGCACAGGCTGTCTTCGCGCCGCAATCCTCAGATCTCTCAGCCTGCTGTGTAGCTGGGATTGTAGGCATGAGCCATGGCTCCTGGTCTCCCACCCTACTTTTTATCTTCTAATATATACCGTTTTATTAAGTACTGCCTGTAGGTAGTGTTTTGTATGCTTGGTACCTTTTGACTGTGTTTGGAGACATTCTTCATTGTGTCAGGAGCGTAGTGCCTCCAGACTGGGTTGCTGCTTGAACATTCTGCATTCCTTGGAGAGTCTTCCACAACAAAGATGTATGTGTTGTGTGCATTAATCTGTGTGGTCTGTATGTTAATAGTGCCCCTGCTGAGCAATCCCACTCACAGAACTGCTATATACATAGCTATCTTCTTTGGCCAGTATTAGTGCTATCATCTGAATTTCATGTTTAGAACCATCTAGCCCTCCTTAATTATGATCTATTTACATTTAAAATTTAACCACACAGTATTATTGTGTTTACTTTGGATAGTCCCTTCCTTTATTCCTAAATTTTAGGTTTCCTTCTGATGTAATTTTTAATCATCCTGAAACTTTAGCATTCTTTCAGGATACATCTGCTGACAGATCCTTAGTTTTCCTTGATCTGAGTATATCTTTGTTGGACATAGCATTCTGGATTGATAGGTTGGTTTGTTTGTTTTTCTTTCTCTCTTTTTCTTAGCACTTTAAACATGTAGTTAGCTGCCCTTGGGCTCCATGAGAAGCCACAGGCTTTTTCCTGGATATTCCTTTGTGTGTAATTGGCTCTGTACATGTAAATTGAGTTTCAGCATTCTATTCTTGTTGGTCTATGCTCTTTTTATTCTTCATATGAATTTTGGAGGATGTGAGGGAAGATTTCAGCTTAAGTAACTGCTTATAGCAGCCTGCTTTTTCATTTTTCAAATCTAGATGATATCTTTCACAAAAGTTTTATGTAAAATTGACAGCTTTTGAGTCACCACATACTTTCTGAAAAAGTGATTGGTCCCAAAAAAGGTTGTGATTGTGACTGAAGACAGTATGAATGGTAGATTGCTTTTTTTTTCTTAGCATTTTAAAATTATTATTTAAGTAGTTGTAGGAAGAAGTTCCCATTCTACAAAACAGTATATGAATTCAAGGTGGGTGGATTGCATTTTTTTTTTTTTTTTTTTTTTTTTGCTGCTAGTGGGGCCTGAGATCTGGTCCTGAGAGCTGTCCCTCAGCTCTTCATCTCAAGGCTAGCACTCTACCACTTGACCCACAGGGCCACTTCTGGCTTTTTCTGCCTATGTGGTGCTGAGGAATTGAGCCCAGGGCCTCATGCATGCAAGGAAAGCATTCTACCACTGAGCCATTTTCCCAGCCCTAGATTGCTTTTTATATGGAGTCAGAAGATGACTGTTGAGCTCCAAAACACATGCTAGTTATGGAGATTGTTTTTATTGAATAGAACGTTTTAGTGAAAGGAGTAACATAGACAGAATAAACAGGACATATAATCATTCCTTGTGTATATCAGTATGTTGACTGACAACAAAACCTATGATGGCATTCGGAGCTTTCCATGTATGGACAACCATGTTTTGTCAAAAGCCACTTCTAGAACTTCGATGACTCTGAAGTTGTGTAACAGTGTATAGGTGTTACTTGGCAGCGTACATTTTTGGCTAGTGGTAACATTTCAGATTTGAGAGGAATATTCTGAATTGAGTCGATGGAGTGGATATTGGGCAGCGTTGTTTATGCTGTTAACCAACAGTATGTGCCAGAGGCTGCTCTGAGATTGTATTTACAGCACAAATGTTGTAGGCTTTGTTAACCTAGGACTCCTGCATAGCCTATTATTTACCTACCTTTTTACTTTGGCTCTTGTTTCCTAAACAAAGGATAGAGATATCCTGTGTATTGTTATAATGGTTTGCCTCAGCTGAATGCAGTTTACTTGAGTTAGAGAGGGTGATTGGTAAAATTAGGCCAGATATTGGCCTACATGAAACATTTGGTAACAGAAGACTACTTCGCTTGGCTAAGTTCTATTGTCTTACTTTTACTAGATACCAGCTGGAGGATGAGTCTGCCCATTTGGATGAAATGCCACTAATGATGTCTGAAGAAGGCTTTGAGAATGATGAAAGTGATTACCACACATTACCACGAGCAAGAATTACACGAAGGAAAAGAGGAGTGGAATGGTTTGTCTGTGGTGGATGGAAGTTCCTCTGTGCCAGGTTTGTCATCCATTGGCTACCCTGATTATTGTGTACATGAAGTTTATTTATACGCTTAGCTCCTGGTATATTTAGTAGGAGTGCTCACATATGTTCATATAAATACTAAACATTCTTTTATCCAATAGTATTAATGACATTAATTAAAAATCACACAGTGCTGACCTGAAAAGGAAGAATTCATTTTTTTTTATGAGATGCTAGTGGTTAATACCTGGAGAAAACTAGTGATTTAAATGCATGGCAGAACTAAACCTGGTTACTGGACCATCATTTGTAAATGGCGTTCTTTTCTAATCCTATGAAATGCAATTTAATAATTAATCAGCCTTAATTTTTTAATTTGGAATATGATTCTTTTACTTTAACCAGCAAGTTAAAACTCAAATTTCACACAGATTTTTCTGGACATGAAATAAATTGGTTTGATTTGTCTTAGATTTGTCTGGTAGATAAAGCACATTTTGTGTGTCTCAGACACTATGCCCACCCCTCCAGATGTGAAGAGATACTGCTGAGTGATGCCCCAGTGACTTAAGCAGAGCCTGTCAATGAATTAGAACTCTCACTGTCTCTCTGTTGTTCAAAGTTAGAGTCAGTACCTTTGTGGCCACTAGAAGTTTATATTTCTTTGTCTATAAAAGGAAATTAAGTAACTGTAGAAAAATATATTGTCTATTATCCTTTTTATTTTTTGGAAGTTTGCAAAAAAGTTGTTCTTGTAAACGGACTTGATTTTTAGGTTAGCTCATGAGGTGTGGTACACAAACTGCCCTTTGGAGATGGAGGAATTTGGGAGAATTCCTTATGAATGCTAGATGTGTCTATAAAGTAAACATAAATTGTGATCCTGAGGGAAAAGCTAGCTAAATTGTCTTAGCTGACTCTAATCAGTTGATGGGGTGCTAATGAATGCCTTATTGCCATCTGGGACAGGAAGTAACCTGAGATATCCACAGACTCTTCTTGCTCAGTAGGCACCTGCCACACAGAGAAATTGCTATGGAAATTAGAAATTGTATCATATAAAGAAAATTGTACACTCAGTGGTTAGCTTGTTTTTATTTATTCATTGCCTACAGATTTTTAGTTTTGAATGTTTGCAGTTTATTTCCTAACTACCAAACATTATTAAATATATTTTATTAAAATTATTAGATATGATCCTAAGAGAAGACATATATAATTAATTATAGAAAGGAAATATCTCAATACAAATAGGTTGTAACAAGTATAAATGAGTGGTAAATATTTCAATATGTTTCTATTGTAGATCTTAGAGTAGTTAAGGCTCATTTTTGAGATATTTTTAACTTCAGAAACTGAATGGGCTCTAATTTTTTATGTCTTAGAATTCACTTTCTTGTTTTATTATTTGGCAAAGATTCCAACTTGGAGAGTTTGAAAAGAAACTTGAAATATTTTAAATCCCTTCTTAAAAGTCTCTTTTAATTTTCTTTGATGTGAGTTAATGCATGTTCCTGTAGTTGTCACAGGATAATTGATTATGTTGTTCTATGATCTGAGTTGATGGTCTTTCTCACGAGATTTACATTTCACTTGTTATCAAACATCACTTTGTCCCAAGGAAAGTGGAGCCAGGAATGGTATTTCCATATGAAGGGAGAAGGGCCTGGGATATCAAATGCTGGGATTATTCTTGGTTCTAAATAGCCTTCACATTTTCAATTAATTTGTAAACCTTTTGGGGGTGCAGGAGCATGAGAAAGTGCTCATCTTTTAAGAAAACACGAGGACTGTGTTGCTTTGTTTTGGTAACTGAAGTTACCTTGTTACTGAATGCCATAATTGTTTAATTTGAGGGGTATGAGAAGGAGCCTGTCTGCATATTGAGAATTAGTTATGACTGAAATTTTAGAAGACAGAATCTTGGTATGCTTAAAAATGTCTTATTTAATATTAAATACTACTTTGATGATAGAGATATTGCTAATTCTAAAACATTGAAGTAAAAGTGTAAGTGTGCATTGTGTTTACCTAGTATTGAACTTGGTAATGAATATATAAGTGGGAAAGTATTTTTCTCAATAATTTGGAAAGTATTTAGCATATATAGATTTTTTTTTTTAAAGTAAAGCTCACAGATACGTTCTTCCAAAGACTTAGGTGCTCTTTTTTTTTCCACATTATTTTTTCACATTATTTTGCCTCAAAAATCTTTAATAATTTTGTTTCCCTTCTACTACTCAATAAAGTTTGCATGTTCTTTTTTGCTGTTATGATAATACACTTTTTAATCCTTGGAGTTATTGCTCCTTAACATTTTTTATAGTGGTGTTGCAGATTGAACCCAGGGCCTTCCACATGTGAGGCAAGCGCTCTATCACTGAACAAGTTCTTCCTGGTTACGGCCTTTAGTCTTAACTTTGAGACTACCTGTCTTCCTGTCTGGGAATTATTCTCTGGCTGTTAAGTTAACAGTTTTAGAATAGTCCAGGCTTTTCAGACCTCAAGCCTACTGTGAATGTATTCATTCAGTGGTAAAGAAGAATGGAGAAATGTTCAGCTTCCATAAAGGAAATGCACATAAAAACAGCATTGAGATTTCATCTCACGCTAATTGGATGGCTTCCATCAAGAAGAATACAAACAGCGGATATTGGTGAGGAGTAGGGGGAAAGGATCCCTAATACACTGTTGCTGGAAATAGAAATTAGTACAATCAGCGTAAGAAGGCATGATTATACAAGGTTAGCATATATGATGATGTATCTCAGACCCAGTGTGTGTCTCCATGTTGGTGGTAGGCCTTTGCTCCAATTCAGTTTCAATTTAACGTGTCGGTGTGTGAACAGTACATCTTGGGCAGTTACCTTCCTGTCCATCCATCTCTTCAAGTTTTCACATTTGAGTACTGTGGCTCTACCAAGCCACCATTCTTCTTTTCATTCTTTATACCCTCCTTTTGTTTGTGTTGGGGGGGTGGTTAACTCAGGATCTGGGGGCCTAGCACTCAACCACTTGAGTTACAGCTCCATTTTTGGCTTTTTGGTGGTTAACTAGAGATAAGAGTTGCTCTAGTTTGTCTGCTTGGGCAGCTTTGAATCTCAATTCTAAAATCTAAGCCTCCTGAGTAACTAGGATTACCAGTATGTGAGCCACCTGCACCTAGCTTTCACCCTCCTTCTTTTAGTCCCCACCCACATCTGAGTCAAGACATGTTTCAGTATGTTGGCATTTACTTCACTGAATTGTGTGTTAACTGTTCAAATGGGTTACACCAGGGCATCTCACTCTTACATTTACTATTCTTCAATCAGTTTGATTGTGTATATAGTGTATGGTCCTGAGGTATGTTTATAGTTTAGATCTAATAGCAACACCTGAGAGAAAACATACACCCTCTGACTCTATGAGTCTAGCTTACTTCACTGAATATCGTTTTCACCAGGTCCATCTACTTACCTGCAAATGACTTTTCTGCCTGGGCTGGCTTTGAACTGCTATCCTCAGATCTCAGCCTCCTGAGTAGCTAGGATTAAAGGCATGAGCCTTTTTAATAGTAAAGTTTAAATTCATGGCTGTTTTGTGCTTAGAATAAGGATGAATTGAGTGCAGGACCTTTTCCTTGATAGTCTAGTGCTCTACCTTTTGAGCTACCCCAGCCCTCTTTTAGATAAAAGTTAGTGTCATGTTGGTCCCTCACATCCACTCCTGGAGACTCTAAACCTTCCTGGCCATGCCTACCACTATTCAGGAGGACAGAATATAAAGTGGAAATGCATATTGCATTGAGGAAGAGAGTTAATGAGGAAGCACAACTAAATTGTCATTATTGTTAGATTATCACATTGAGCTTTGGTATCCGTTTTAGATATTAAATTGAATCATAAGTCTTTGGTTAGTAATACTGGAAAAGTCGCTATGAAGAGTGAGAAAGATTATTTCAGAGAAGGGCAATCGAATGGTTGATATCTAAGGATATTTATTGTTGAATCACTAAATGGGTAGACTGAGAATTACCGGTAACCTATAGCTATCTTTTTCTCAATATGTACAGTACTGATTGCTGCTGAATATTAAAAGTTTTATTTTACCAGAAAGAGTGTCTATAAACAGGTATGATAATTCTGCTAGGGTTCTAGAAGCCATTGTACATATATACAAGACATTCACTATTTTATTGCTACATTTGAATCTGTTTAACCAACCTATGCTGAGAAAAACTTCACTCACAGATTGGTATTGGATAGACTGCTGTTGGTGTCTGGTAAGCACCAGTATTTAGTGTGTGGAATTCATTTAAACTTTCTTTTCTCTAAAGGCATGTATGTTCTTTTGTTTCATGCAGCTGCTGTGATTGGCTGGTAAATGTGTGTCAAAGAAAGAAAGAACTGAAAGCTCGTACAGTATGGCTTGGATGTCCAGAAAAGTGTGAAGAAAAACATCCCAGGAATTCTATAAAAAATCAAAAATACAATGTGTTTACCTTTATACCTGGGGTAAGACCACTGCATCATTAAAGAATGCTTATATGTCAGGGCTTGCTAGCTCCCTTTGTCTTGTGAAAATACCCGCGGAGACTCTGATTATTTGCTAAACAATTCATTTGCATTTTTAATGACATCTCACAAAAATGTACAATTTGATTATTGCCTTCAGTTTTTCATAAACATATTTTGGGTTAGTGTAGCAATATAAATAGCATAAAATGAAGAAAAGGAAAATTAACTGATAAAAAAAATCCTAAGTTTAAGGACTAGGAATTTGGAGAGAAAAGTAGCATGTAAATTTTTGTTGTTGTTGTTGGTCCTGGGCTTGAACTCTGGCCTGAGCGTTGTCCCTGAGCTCTTCAGCTCAAGACAAAAATGCTCTACCACTTGAACCACAGCGCCACTTCCGATTTTCTGGTGGCTCATCAGAGATAAGAGTCTCATGGACTTTTCTGCCCCGACTGGCTTTGAACTGCGATCCTCAGATCTCAGCCTCCTGAATAGTTAAGATTACAGACATGTGTCACTGGTACCCAGCTTATAATTTTTTAATCTACGAGATTTATGTATCTTTTTGAAGGCAAAGGAAGTTAGTGCTGAATAACACACATATACACGTTTTCATGTATAAGCTTTTATTTTCTTTTAACATTAGATACTTAGAAGTTAGAATAACAAGGGTGACCTGTTGAAAGAAAATTCGGCCATCATATATATCAGATATTTCAGTATCAAAATTTTTCTCATCTTCTAACTCTTAATTCCTATTCTGTTTTGTAAGGAAAGCTCTTGATTACATGAGATAAAAGCTATTCTATCTTGTATATTTGGGTTTAAAAAATCATGCTGACTTTGTACTGGACATTGGTTATTCTTCAGTCCCTATCCAGTCACTGGCTGCCAAATGTTTTGTATCTAATGTGTTGTTGTTTTGTTTTGTGTTTTATTAAAACACACAAAGCTAAAGGCTCCATAATCAGAAGACTGATCTTTTGTTGGGATAATAAAATGTAAATTAATCTTTCAGATAGATAATCATTCTCATCTTTATTGAATGAAGTCACTCTTTTCTCCTTAGGTTTGAATTATTAAATACTCACTGATTTGCTAAGCAGTATACATTTTCTGGAAGGTCAGCCAGTTCATTCAGTATACAGTTAAGTATGGTGGGTTAGAGCCAGTAGTGCAGCTTAAGTTTGGTCAGTGTAGATTCACATAGCCTGCGTAGGTTGATTGTGTCCTGAGGGTACCTGTTGATGTATACGTCTATACAACTGGTGCCATGTACATAATTTTTTCCTGGCATGTCCCTGAAATTAGTCTTTTAATCTAAAATGTAGTATTTTAGAAACATTTGGTAATTACACGGTAGGAATTCTATGCCATTTTTAGCATGAATGGCAATTTCTGAATTGCTAATAGATATAATTTATGCTGAGATTTTAGGAAACTGCTGAGGGAGAAGAGAACTTACTTTCCTGCTGAGATTAATTTATGAATTAATTCAAAACATTTTTAGACAGCAGTTGAACATGATTATAAATATATTACCAGTGTAGCTGAGTTTTTCATCACACACATAATTGTATGATGTTGAAGGTAAGTTCATTATATAGAAACTGGGGTCAAGGCACTTTAGGCCAAGGGTAAATACTTATTTTGAATTTTAAAATTAGAGTATGATAGTTGAATCATTCTTAATAATAGTGTGCCATTTGAACTATTACTGTTTGAATTTTTCTTCCTTAGAGATAACTTTTTTTGTTCTTTTAGAGATAACTTTTTTTGTTCTTTTTTTTTAAAGAGAGATAACTATTTGAATGGAAAAACAAATATAAAATCTTATACTGTTGGAATTTCTAAAATTTGATTGATGAGATATATTTTATATTTAAAAGTAGTGTTAAAAGACTATAGAATTGGAGTGTTGGTGGCCAATGTCTGTAATGCTTGCTATTAGGAGGCTGAAATCTGGAGGATTGTGGTTTGAAGCCAGTCCAGATAGCAGAAAAGTTTGCAAAATGCCATCTCTAAAATAACCAACACAAAACAAAAAGCAGAGGCTGGAGGTATAGTTCAGATGATAGAGCTCCAACTCAGCAAGCAAGCTTAGTATCCTGAGTTCAGACCTCAGTACAACCAAAAAGAGATTACAGTATGTGTAGATTGATGTCTTCCTGAAAATGGTTCTGTTATTTTTATATTTTTATATTTATATTTTTATATTTTATATTTTTTATATTTTGAGGGAGACATATTGGTAAGTTTCTCATGAAGATGTGCATATGCTTCTTTGCTTGTTCACTCCATCTTTATAGAGTTAGAATGTCAGTGTTAAAAAGTGTGTTATTTACTTAAAAAATTTCATAAATCTAAGGTTGATTAGACTTTCCATTATGAGTTTTGAAATTGATATTTTACAAATTTGTGTACTTCCTGACTTGCTAAATTTAGGAAAACTTCACTATCATTTATTTTATGTGCATGTAAACATTTAGGTAAATATGCAAAGCTAGAAATGGCGTTTCTTTTCCCCAGTTTATTTTAAATATTATTGGGGAATAACTAACTTTCTTTGTATTTGGATTAGCCTTATAAACCCAATGTCAAAATTAAGTTTACTGTGGATCAGCACAGTCTCCCTGTTTGATGGATGTATATTTGCGTATTGTGCAGAATTTAATTTGATAATATTGTAAATCTTTCTTGAAGGGATTGTGTTCATTTTCTCCTTTTCTTTTTAGGTTTTGTATGAACAGTTCAAGTTTTTCTTGAATCTGTATTTTCTGGTAGTGTCCTGCTCACAGTTTGTGCCGGCATTGAAAATAGGCTACCTCTACACCTACTGGGCTCCTCTGGTAAAAAAAGACTTTTGAAATTCAGCTGTGTTGCTGATAATGTTTAGTAGCTGATTAGACTTTAAATGTGAAGTTGTTGTTGTGGATCATTGAATATGTTAAAAGAGTACACAGGGACCTATCATTTAATTCTTTCATACCCTCTGGATAGCATATTGGCAGCACATTGCCTGAAGTGCTCCTGGAGTTTCTAGATTCTCTCAGCTGCAAGAGTTATGAAGAGCCCTACTTTGGGTTTTTTGCACCCGTCTGACTAGCCCTGCTTCCTTTTGTGCCCATGATATTTGCTGGGCTGGTGTGGTCAGTTGAATTACTCTCCTGATAGTGAAGGCTTCAAAGTATTTGATGCTATACAGGATGTTTCTATTTGATAGCTCAGGGAGGGCATGGAGTTTTTGAAAGGTTGATGGTACTTACCACTGAGTATATCTTGATAGCTTTCATTAGTTTTCAGCTTGTATAGATAATAGAAAACTGTACTGCTTCCTTTGATGATAGAAATATCTGGACAGACAACATAACCAGTAAAATGTCTCCCTTTGGGGAAGAGTACATTGTTCAGTTTTCCCTACTCTGTGACCTTCAGATTTGGAAGTCCTAGTGGTCTGCTCTTAAGTAGGCCTCTTCCTCAACTAGAGACTTGTCCCTAGTTTGTTTCCTAGGGGAAAGATCTTGTTCTAGGGCAAGTTCAGTGTTCACTCATGTAGACTTAATTGTAGGGTGAATGAAACTAATGTTAGATGGGACATAAATACAAAGTAGTTAGTGGATGAATGCATACATTTTTTTATGTACTTAATTAGCGAGTTTGAAATAGGCATTGATGCCGAGCATAGTCATCTATGATATGCTCTGGCATTTACCCACTGTTAATATAAATATCTGTGCTGACCTTTGAGAGAGTTGTTTGTTAATAAATATCAAGGAGCTTACAAATGGAATGAGCATTTTTATTGGAGGACTTTATCCTATAATCTTCAAAGAATGTTAGCAAAAGAACAAAGTTAGACTCCTACCTTATATTGAACACAAAAAGTAACTTAAAATGGCTTGTAGACCTAAATGTAAGAGCCAACACTAATCAAGATTCCTAAAAGAAAACAATAGATACCAAAAGCCCCAGTGACAAAGAAAAAATAGGTAATTTAAATTTATCAAATTTTAAAACTTTTGTGCAGCAGAGGACAACATTAAGAAAGAAGATAATTCTTAATTGGAGAAAATATAAGGTCATATTTACAAGTTACACATTGAACAAAACATTTTATACAAATGAATAAATAACTTTTATAACTCAACAACTAAGGGAAAACTTAGTTAAAAGATTGAGGGAGGATGTTAACAGACATTTACCCAAAGGAAATAGCCAGGTAACCTATGAATACCAGAAAAAATGACCTGCTTTCTTGTCATTAGGAAGTGAATTGAAGAGAGTATGAAGAAACCTCATTCTTTGCTAGTGGGATCAGAAAGTCATTCAACCACGTTAGAGAAGAGCTTAGCAATTACTCAAAATACTGATCAAATACATGTTATCTAGCATATGTGAATCCATAGAGACAGAGAACAGATTATTCAGTCGTTGCTACGGAGGGAACAGGGTTGGAGAGGGAATGGGATGTGACTGAGGCTGCTCAATATTGTCAACGCACCCAGAGTACCTTGTATTCAGGGATTAGTTGTATGACATGTGAATAAGTTAATAAGGCTGTTAATTAGGAAAGGGTCAGTTGCTAAGGTACCTAAGTGCAGGTCCTACTTCACTTTACTCTCAGGGGACCCAGGAGTTCCTTTAGTACCCTTCTCCCAGTAGACCCACCAGTAAGCACCGAAAATAGAGACCTAATGAGGTTCTTCACAGTCCCCTGGGGTAGGAGGGTAAAGCAGTTTGGAGCAGGAAGTGGGGTGAGAAATCTGTGTGTCCATCAGGTTGGGGCAGCATTGTGTTTCTGTGAAAGAACATGAACAGTAAGGAGTAATGGAACATTTCTGTTCCTTGAAGAATGAGTTTGAGGGGATTGTGGCTGGGGGAGGGAGCACTGGCTCATGCAGGATGAAGAGCAGAGGATGACACCAGCCCAGCGGCCTTGCCACACAGAGTGGTCAGGCTGGAGTCCTTGGTGTGGGGAACACAGCGAGCACTTGGAGGACATCAGCCCTGGTTGAGGCAGTGGAATAGCTGGAGAACTTGGCTGTGACTGGGTAGGGTGCTCAGTCATCAAAGAAACTTGGCAGGAGGTGCCATCCAGGAAGCCATAGGAGTGGAGAGGGGAACGGGAGGGTGAACAATGGCTAACACACAAAGAACTGGGACATCTGCCTTGTTAGAAGGCAGCTTGACTTGTGCTGCAGTGAGGGAAGATGGGATGGGTCAAGGGCAATGGAGCGTCGGAAGGTCTCCATGGCACACAATGTAGACTAAAGAAGGAGAACATTTGGTGTTCATAGGGATGGATAGTTGGTTAAAGGGCCCAAGGAACGCTGTGTCAGAGGAATTAAAAATAATGTGGAAATGTTTCTGATTAGGGGAGAGGGCATATGAAGAGATGCAGGGACTCAGTTGGGAAGAACTGCACCCTCTGTCTGATGTTTGTAGGTCATTCTACACACAAGAGTTTTTTTCAGTAAGATACTGGAGAAGAAATGATTTCAGTGACCATAGCACACATTTTTCCAGTGATCTGCTTACAGCCATTTGGTTGAAGTAAAAATTGTTGGATTTTCAGTGGAAGTCAATCCAGTGTCTTGATTATTTATAGTATTATCAAAACAAGGTTATCAGCAATAAGAAGCCTACTGAAGATACTTCATTTAATCATGGGCAATTCACTTGGAAGAATATCCTTGTAATGTATCACGAGTTACATTTGCAACTTTTAAAAGAGACACTACCACATGTTAGTGGTGCAGCATGTTTCAGAACAGGTTGAAGGTGTGTAGAAGTTTTATTTAGAATAGCACTCATCTATCCGGGTGTTTACTTAAAACATGATAGGAAAAAGCACTATACTTTTGTTCTCTAGTCCTCTTGTTTGAATAATGCACTGGGTAAGAAAACCGATTAGTGAGTATTCTATCTGGGAATTGTTTTGTATTCATAAATGCTTTGATTCTGTGAGAAGAAATATTTTAATGCAGAAAGTATTGGAGACTTTATAGTTAATTTTGCATTTGAATGGCTAAGTTTTTATAGAATTCATCAGTTTACTGAGTAATTTCCTTTAATTTACTAAGTATTTTTTTGTTATTTGGATTGAAGTACATATGTACATATGATAGGAATTTTATTTTATTTCTTGGGCATTCTCTTAGATATTCTAAAAATTATGAGACTCTAAGACCTTTCTTTTTAAAAAAAATTATTGTGAAAATACCATACAGAGAGGTTACAATTACACGGGGACCTTTCTTTATGGTGGTACTGTGGGCAAATTTTTGTTTATCTGGTATACTACTACTTGAGCCATATCCTTAGCCCCTTTTGTTTTAGGTTATTTTTTTAGATAGTGACTCTTGCTTTTGCCTAGGCCAACCTTGAACTGTATTCTTCCTACCATTCTCTCTACAAGGCTAGGATTGTGGGCTTGTTTATTGAGATAGTGCCTTCCTGCTTGTCGAGGCAGCCTTCAGGCTGTGATTTCCCCCTCTTCCCACATATTCACTGCTTCCCCAGTAGCTGCAATGAATGGATTTGAGCCACTGTGCCTGACCATAGGGTTGTGAATTGTTTAGTGTGTTTTATGTGTCTCTATAGCATTTTGTTGTTTATTTTTGTATTGCTTCAGAGGTGATTGATTGAAGGGGAGAAGGAAAGCTTGTTTTCTGTGTTTGTAATATAGTTTGCCTTTTTAAATAGGGGTTTGTCTTGGCTGTTACTATCACTCGTGAAGCGATTGATGAATTTCGGCGTTTTCAGAGAGACAAGGAAATGAATTCACAGCTGTACAGCAAGCTTACAGTAAGAGGTTAGTATGACACTTTTTAAGTACCCAGCGTTTACTTAGTGAAATAATCATTTTACAGTTAACATGATGAAAGAAAACATGTCTTCATTCTGTTCTTGAAAACAACATTATGTGATTATATATGGTGTCTAATGTTTATATCATACATGCAACTTAAGGGTAGAATTGTATTCATTCTCTGGATGTGAACGTATGTTTATATTTATTTGTTTATAGTTTATGTTTATATACTTTTAATTTTTTTATACAGACATGAACATCTGTACTTAGACACGTGAAACTTCTGATGCATACATATTTTCTCTGAAGTGTAAGATCACTTTATCTGAAATCTCTTATATTTAAAATGTTCCCATAAAGGCCAGCTGTATCTATCATGGCGTTAAACTGTACTTCAGTAAAAAGGCTTATTCCAGGAACTTCCCTGGAATAAATGTTACTCTCCAGTGTGGCGATAAGTGCATACTTGCTAGGTATGCAAGTGTGTGTGTGTGTGTGTGTGTGTGTGTGTGTGTGTGTGTGCGTGCATATATATACAACACTTGCATGAAGTCATCTAGGACTTTAACCATTTTTAACTTAATCTCCTAAAAACCTGACTTGCTTGTTTTTTTACATTTATAGTAGAAAATGAGGACATGGGGGAAGCTACTCCTAACTGGCACTGTGACAGTGAGAAATGACATTGAAGTGTGACAGTGATGGAGGCATTGGAGAGGAATTCACAGTGACCCTAGTATCTACTTAGAAATGAAGTTCACGTGGACTCAGATAAACTTCAGAATGGATTTCACAGATTAATTATTTTCCTAAAACAATCCCTTCAGAATTTTTTTCATAGTTCATTTGGGATATAATTCACTATAATTCACTAGCTCAGTAATTTTTGCTCCATTCATGAAGTTATGCAGCCTTCCCTGTCTATTTTGGAGCATATTTAACATTCAAGGAAAACGAAAAACACCCTGAATGCATATCTTTATATTTATTTGTTTATGGTTTATGTGTATATACTTTGAATTTTTTTTTTTTTTTTGGTCCGTTCATGGGGCCTGAACTCTGGGCCTGGCCGCTGTCCCTCAGCTCAATGCTAGTGCTCTACCACTTGAGCCACAGTGCCACTTCCGGCTTTTTTTCTTTTTGCTTATGTGGTACTGAGGAATCGAACCCAGGGCCTCATGCATGCAAGGCAAGAGCTCTACCACTGGGCCACCTTCCCACCCCTATACTTTAATTTTTTTATTCAGAAACATCTGCACACAGACATATTCTATATAACATTAAATTGTATAATATTTATATAATGCTTCCTTTTCCATCTAAGCACCAAGGAACACATCTTCCTTTTGTGTTTATCATTTTGCCTATTCTGTGAGCATTGTACATAAATTTATATCCACTGTGCATTCTTTTGTGGTTTCTTTTTGGCTTCTTTCACTTGCCATGTTTTCAGGGCTTGCCTGTGTTGCGGTGTGACTGAGTACTTTGTTGTGGCTGAGATGAACCTATTCCACTGTGTGAGCCTCTACACTTAACCATTCGTCAGCAGGTGGACATTTGGGTGGTTTCTCTTTTGTGACTGTTGTGAACATTTATACATCAGCTCTTGTATGAGCATTGTTTCAGTTTCTTTTTGACCTATTCTTAGTAGTAAAATTAGACAATAACTCTGTATTTAGTATTTGGAAGAATTGCCATCCTGTTTTTATACTTGGCTGCATCATTTTGCATTCCCAGCAACAGTGCACAGGATTTCAGCTTTACTTAATGTCTGCCTCTTTGATTGTTGTTACTTTTTTATTGTGGTCATTGTTATGAAATAGTAGGTTTTTGAATTGCACCTTGATGACTAATAAGAATGTCATTTTATGTGTCTATTGGCTGTTTGTACGCCTTCTTAGAGTAATTGTTGAGGTTACTCCTTTTGTGGTGGTTTAAACTCAGGGATCTGTGCTTGCTAAGCAAGCAGTTTACCCTTTTTACTTTAGTTTGCTTTTCAGATAGGATCTCCCAAATAGTCCTGACTGACCTCATCCTGCAATCCTCCTACCTGTAACTGGTATTACAGATGTACCACTATGTCTAATTTAAAAAAAAAAAATAGGGTCCTTTAGCTTTTTGCCTGAGCTAGCTTCCAACTGTTACCCTCTCATCTTGACCTCCTGCATAGCTGGGATTTGTAGTCACACACATTATGCTTTCTCCCTTACCTATTAAAAACAACAACAAACACCAACTTGGGCCGTTTGTCTTTTAGTAGCTGAGTTTACAAGAGTTCTTTAGATATTATGGAATAAATCACTTGTCAGATTTACCATGGCTGATACAGTAAACTCTTAGTGTCTGTGGATATGTAGTTCCAAGGTATTATTGAACTGGTATTGATTAGCTCAACTTTACATAACCTCCTTACTTTCTTCTAGAAATTTTTTAGGTTAACTCTTACATTTAAGTGCTTTGATTCATTTTTCATATACCATTTCTTATGTGGTATGAGATACAGATCAAAATTCTTTTACATGAATATTAAGCTGTCTAATGCTATTTGTTGAAAAGACTTCTTTCACCAATGAATTAAAAATGATTAAGTTATAACCCTTGAAATAGTGGCATGGTAGATAAAAAAAAGATGAGTCATAGAAAAGAATATGTAAGCTTTAGTTTTGTGTAAAAACACCCAGATGGTCAGGTAAATTAGACCTAACTTTACATTGTATCTTTAAAAATACAGTACAGATCCTAGCTTATTTAAAAAATTGGTTTAACTGTGGCATTTGGTCTGAGTAGTATATACATTGTACAGCAGAAAATTATGTGAGTGGTGATAAAAAAGAGTAGTCAGCTCTCTGTGCCTGTCTTTCCACAGAAATACTGAAAAATCATGCAGAAACTTCTACAACTAACTTTGTCAGAATCCTGAAGAATAGTCAAAGTTAGTTTTACAGCACCTACATGATTTCTGAATCTGAAGGGCAACTTAAAAAATGGTAGGAAGCTTTTGGATCTTTCCTATGACTGACCTGGCCCCAAGCCTTCTTCAGGAAGTTTTGAAGATGGCATTCCACAGCCTAGTTTGAAGAATAGAACTTAGTTGAAAGGAATGGTGTTAGTCTCACTAACCAGTCTATAGATACCCTTTGAGGAGTGCTCAGGGTGTTGGTCTTTTGCTCACTTAATATGGAAAATCCCTCAGGACAGAAGAGTAGAAGAACAGTGGTCATCTTTTAACATGTATGTTAGGATAATGAACAGCCACAGTAGACTGGGAGAAAGGATTGTGATTGAGCCCTATATCACAAAGTCAAATGCTAAGTAACGTAGCAAATGCTGAAGAGAGAATGTCTTTGGGAGATTTGAACGTTCAAAAATGCCTGTGTATTCTTAAGAGCTTTGAGTGCCACATATAGGCAGAGAGCTAGAGTAATGCTCAGAACAGACCCCAGAAGTTCTTTGGCCTATGGTGTGTCTAAGCTTAGTGAAGTCGAAAGTGAAAGCCAGAGCAGTGTTGCAGACAGCATTGCCCATTTCACTATGTCCTGAAGAGGGATAGAGCACCTAGCTAAACTAGGAAAAGTTTTGTTTTGTTTCCCTCATTCCCTGTTTCACATTCAAAGAAATCTCTGAAAACACTTGTTAAGAAGCTTATGGAAGAGAGACTAGGGACCATATACCACAGATTACTTGCTTTAGGGAAACCACTAATCAAAAAGAGCTACAACATCTAGAAAGCAACAGATATGGAATAGGTAAAAATGTCTGAAATGATATTTTTTTTCCATTAAAAATTATGAAACATGCAAAGAAGCCTTCACTAAATAATTTAATAGGGACTAATTCTGTTAAAGCCCAGGCATTGAACTTCCAGACCCAAAATTTAAATTAACCATCTTAAATATGCTGAAGAAGCTAAAGGAAGCTATGAAGAAATGGAGGAAGCTTTCAGGAGAATGATATATGAACCTGTAGAGACCATCAGTAAAGGATGCAAATGAATCCTGGAGCTGGAAAGTAGGAAAAATGACAAGAAAAATGCAGTGGAGGGTTTCAGTAGCAGATTAAAACAAGCTGAAGAGTCAATGACTTTGATCACTAACCTAGGTTAGTTGAAGTGATCCCATTTGAGGAACAGGACAAATGAAGAAAAATGAGCAGCTTTTCAGAGACTTGTGGAACAATATTAAATACACTGACAGATACATCATTGGAATCCTAGGAGAGGAGAAGGAGAAAGAGTAGAGAATAAAGGATAAGGACCAGACCCTTTCCAAACTTGATTTTTTTTTTTTTTTTAAGGTAACTAACTATACATTGAGTAGGTTCTGTGAGTCCCAAAAAGAATAAGCACAAAGAGGTCCACACTGCAAGATGATCAAAACTGTTCAGACATGATGACAAATAGACATTTTCCAAGCGGGAAGATAAAAGCAGTTGGTCCCTGTGCAGAGATAAGCGGAGCCCTGGGGCTGAAGGGAGTGGGCACTGCTTTAAGCTAGGAGACAAAAACTATCAACTACATCACCAGTCAAAACTGAAGAAATTAAGATATTTCCAGATAAACATCTGAGAAGGCGTAAGGACTTACAAACTTGAGTATAGACAAGGAGAAAGCTGTTTGTAAATCATCTCTTGTAAGGGTCCAGCTTGTAGCCCGTCTAAAGAGCTCTTTTAAATTCTACTACAAAAAGATATCATTCAAAACAGGCAAAGGATCTGATTAGAAATTTCTCTAAGAAGCTAGAAAAAAGCCAATAAACATGAAAGGATGCTTAATTAAATGCACAGAGAAAATTACCTAAAAGTCACACAAAGACACTACCAAACACTACTAGGTAGGCTATCATTTAAAAAAATTGTAAAATAAGGAGACCTGGAGAAGCCCTAGAGAAAGTAGAATCTTGGTATATTGCTGGTGGGAATGTAAATGCTTCAGTAAATGGAAAATGAGTTTATCATTTCTTACATACTTAAACATAAAATTTGAAACGGGTTTCCAATCAGTT